AGCTTGAGTTACCATCAACTTGTTGTACTGAGAATTACCTTGGCAAAATTATCTTGTAAATTTGTTACAACATTAATGAATATGTTGACATCATTTATTATTATAATTAATTGAACAATCAATGTGACGTCACGTCATTGTGAAGGGATGCCATTTTCATCGTTTCAGAGGTGGCCAAGTGCAAAATATTCGTTTTAGATCACAATTATACAGTTAACTTTGTATTATATGATAAAAATAATCTGTCATTTGTTTCCCTTCATATTAGATTGATGGTTTTTCATGTTTGCGAGCCCCTGGTGAGCAAATATGAAAAATGCTCGCCAGAGGCTCACAAACATGAACAAGAGGCCCAGAGGGCCTGTATCGCTCACCTGGATATTTAACAATCATGACAAAATATTCTCCAAATGAGATCAAAGGGAATATGCCAGACCCAAAGGCCAATCCTTGAAGCATATCTGTATTAGATTGGTTATGGGGTGGGGATCTCAACTGTTTCCAAGCTGTGACTCAGACACTAGGTCCCTAGGGTTGTGGCCAGACCCCAGGATCAATTCTAAAATCATGACTGCATTCGTCTCTTTTTGCCCAGCATTTGTATATATACAAATATCAGCCATATTTGACTGGAAGCATCCCTAGGAGAAGAAGTCGTTTTCTTTGTGGGTGGGGATCTCAACCGTTCCAAAGTTATGACCCAGGGGTTAAGTCTACAAGGGTGGGGGCAGATTATGAAACTCGTGCACAACATAAAGTTTTAAGAATATCACACATTTTCTATATATGTATATAGTTATATGTATATAGTTTTATGGGTGGGGATCTCAACCGTTTCAAAGTTATGACCCAGGGGTTAAGTCTACAAGGGTGGGGGCAGACCCTGGGTCAATTCTAATATCATGACTGCATTCGTCTCTTTATGCCCAACAATTTTATATACAGTTTTTGTGTGGGGATCGATCTTAACCATTTTGAAGTTATGACCCAGGGACTGTCTCCAAGGGTGGGGCCAGACCCTATAGAGCCATCCTGGAAGCAAATGTGCATTCTTCTCTTTATACTCAACAATTGTATATATACAACTTGGAAATAATTGAGATCCCCACCGTATAACCATATATATATATATGGTTATACGGTGGGGATCTTAATTATTTCCAAGTTATAAACTTTTTTTGGCCCCACCCCTTAGCCCGGGGGGTTAGCCCCACCATTTGTATAATTTTGAATCCCGGCCTCACATGAATGCTTCCAACCAAATATGATCGATATCCATGGCATAGCTCTACAGAAGAAGTCATTTATAGCNACTTCCAACCAAATATGATCGATATCCATGGCATATAGCTCTACAGAAGAAGTCGTTTATAGCAATTTAGCCAAATTGCCCCCTTTTGGCCAAGCTCTCAGCCCCCTGGGGGGTCAGCCACACCATTTGTACCATTTTGAATCCCCAACACCTAGGGATGCTTTCAGTCAAATATGGTTGATATCCATCTCTTAGTTCCAGGGAAGAGGTCGCTTAAAGCAATAAAGCCAAATACCCCTTTTTGGCCCCATCCCTCAGCCCCCTGGGGGGTCAGCCACACCATTTGTACAATTTTGAATTTCCACTAACTAGGGATGCTTCCAGTCAAATATGGTTGATATCCATCTCTTAGTTCCACAGAAGAAGTCGCTTAAGGTAATAGAATTGTGTCGCCATTTCTCAGTAGAATTTATTCGAATTTTGTAGTTATATTGCTTTGAAGTTAAGAAAATTTTCTGCCCCAAAAAAAATATAGGTTGTCAGAATTTTAAGGATTTTAAATGGAAATTTATGTAAAAAGGAGTGAATTTTGAAAAAAAAATTGAAACACACATTTTTTTTGCAAAATAATGTCAATAAAAATGATACTAACATAGATTCGTATTGCATTAATGTATATAAATTTCATAAATGCTGAAATTGTGTAAAATTAATCATCTATAAACGATTAAAAATTGACATTTTATAATTAAACCATATACACATAGTAATTGCATGCAAGAGTTATCGTTCTTGAAAAACTTCACAGTAGTGAAATAGGTAGCCGGTTTCCTGAAGTACAGAAAAATGGACATGTGTGACTCATTGATCAAAAAACAACTGAATTAATGCCTAGATTGCTTTGCAATACTGTAATATTGAAAGAACATACTGTTCTGTCAATAATAAGCATACAATATTCATCAGTTTAATATTAAATATTAGAATATGCAGAAATTGTGATACTGTCTCCCTACATTGGATTTTCAACTAGGGATGTACTTCCTATTTCTGTTTAGCAATACACTCGTATGACCTTAAAGCAATATAGCCAAATTGCCCCCTTTTGTCCCCGTCCCTCATCCCCCTGGGGGGTCAGCCCCACCATTTGTATAATTTTGAATATCCCCACCACCTAAGGATGCTTCCAGTCAAATTTAGTTAAATTCCAATCAATGGTTAAGAAGAAGAAGTCGCTTAAAGAAATTGTTGATGTACGGACGTAAAGACGAACAACGGATGGACGACAGATGCCATGGTATGGCCTAAGCTCACCTTGGTCCTTCGGACCAGGTGAGCTAAAAATCCAAAACTTGTATCATAAATCTAATATGAAGGGAAACTTATGACAGATCCTCTCTCTCTATATATATATAACTCGTAATTTGTATCAAAAAGTCAGTGGCAGAAATAAGCCATGATACAACTTAATATAATAAAAAGATTATCAAGCAGGTTAGATGCAATGAAGGTTAGATCTTAACATTTTGATATATGACCTTTTTAAACATCCGTATGTGGTTAAATGGAACATATGTGTGTGACTTCAACTAAGATAGTTAAAAACTGGCATAAAAACTTGCAAGCACATATGGTAAATTAAGGCAAGGCAGATTTTCCAGAAACAGAAAGTATATTTGTTTTCTAACTTTTTAACAGCACTGATTATGAATCTCGTGCACAACATAAAGTTTTACGAATATCACACATTTTCTCCGGAGAATAGCAGACAAATATTGACCCCAATTGAGTTTACCATAAAACATATATATCTCCCGGTAGTGGGACATGTTTATCACCTTCTAGCTGACTTCCCCCTCAAACTGTTTCACATTTATATCTCAACCATGACGTGTTTCACATGTACACACACACACACTTATGTAGCCCTGCAGACAGAAACAGCATCACAGGAAAGATTACACCTGATTTAATATTAAACCAGTCCTTTAATCATCCCATATCAATCTGACATCCTGTCCTACACATCTGAAACGACTTACATACATACCCATAAACCACAATACCATTCCCCTTGATATATTACCCTTCTTTCATTGCCATCTCACTAATAACTAACTGCTAACCTATTTCAAGGTACCTGGTATATATGGAGTGGGGATCTAAATTGTTTCCATGTTGTTACCCAAGGACTAAGATTGTTTTTGAATTCCTTCAATAAATTGCCAAACCCCTGTTCATAGCACCACAATTTCTGTGAACAATGGCCTGGTAGCAGTATAACAAGATGAAATGCATACATCTAAAAATACAATATACCTCGTTTTGAAATGGGGAATGGAATAATGGATTTTCAGCAATTTGGGCTTTTTTTAAGGTTTTAGGCCAAAGAAAAATATTTTGTGTTTCCAATAAAACTACCAATCCACATTTGTTCGCCTACCCTAAACCTTTTTGGCAATTTTTCAGAGAAGCTGAGCACTTTTAAAGTAAGGATCACTCTCCTATGAAAAAAAATGTATATATATTCAAAAATAAATCTCTTCCCCTACCATGTACCTACCCTATAATTTTTAACTTATTATTGGAAATCCACTTATTTTTGTGGTTGGCTTTATGTGTTTTAACATTTCTATCTGTAAATAAAATGAATGCATCAGTTTTCTATATCTATTGTTATTTAAATTTGCTTTGTTTAAGAACAAGAGGCCCATGGGCCTTAACGGTCACCTGAGTCCTACAGTATTAACTTTTGTTGTTGTAATATGAAGTGGCGATAACGATGTTAATCATTCCTATCAAAATTTGAGTACAAATTAGTTAGGAATAACGTTAAGTTAAGTTTGTCAGGACAATGAGTTGATCATTCCTAGACTGAGTTTCAGTAAAATAGGCCAATTAGAACTTGATCTTAAGTTTTAAATAATTTTTTTACCAAAATAGCAGCCTCCATAAAAGGTGGCCATATTGGATTTTTGATCGACCTTAAAAAGAAACAAAATATTTTGCCAGGACCATGACTCGATCATTCCTTCCAAGTTTCAGTTAAATGGGCCCAGCAGCACTTGACTTTAAGTTTGAAATAGTTTTTCAAAATGGCGGCCCGTGGCGGCCATATTGGAATTCTGATTGACCTGATAAATAACTACACTTTGTCAGGACCATGAGTTTATCATTCCTACCAAGTTTCAGTTAAATCGGCCCAGTAGAACTTGACTTTAAGTTTGAAATAGTTTTTCAAAATGGCCGGCCATGGCGGCCATATTGGATTTCTGATCGACCTGAAAAATAACTACACTTTGTCAGGACCATGAGTTTATCATTCATACCAGGTTTCAATTAAATCGGCCCAGTAGAACTTGACTTTAAGTTTGAAATAGTTTTTCAAAATGGCGGCCGTGGCGGCCATATTTGATTTTTGATCGACCTGAAAAATAACAACACTTGGTCAGGGAGTAGTCAGTAGCTTTCCCATGATGTATCAATGAAATCCCTTTGACAGTATTTCAGCTTAAGTTGAAAATGTAAAATGTTAACAGACGACGGACGACAACGGACGAAGACGGATAGCAATAGGTCACTTGTTTTAGTTTGAATTGTGTTGAATGTGGTATGTACATGTACCAATAAAAATTGTTAAGGGGACCTAAAAATGTCTTACCTGAAAAAAGTGGCACATTTTTCCAAAAAAGTTTAAAAGTTTTGATTTAAAATTAGAGTTTTCAGAATATTGGTTTCTACAACTTACCATTGTCATTAATCTTTTGTTGACTGTGGAGTTTCCTCACTGCTTCGTCAAGACGTCGACACGGCACCTTTGATTGGCCTTGAAGCATACTCGAGTTGGCCCTCTTCCTCTGTTGAGAAGTGTGGTCACCATTTTGGTTTTCATAATGTTTAGCAGTGGCAGTTCCATTGTTTATTTTATCTGGTGATAGAGTCTGAGCACCTCCATTTTGGGAGAGCGTCTTGTGCGGTTCTGTTGATCCTATTTTCCCTCTGAATACATATGTCAGCTGAGGGAAGAACTTTTCCAAGTCATCAAAGTCAATCATTTTGTTGCATTTTAACACAGTAACAGGTAAACTATAGTAATGAATAAAAGCTTTTTCTTCTTCATCTGTACAAGTCACAAGAGGAACACTCAACACATTTTCCAACGCGAAGAGAAACTCATTGACACTACAACCATTGAAGTAAAGCTTACACACCGCCTCCACCAGACAGAACTTGCCTGTGCGCTTTGGTCCATTGAGATGCATACAAGATATGCTTTTGCCACCTAGCCACACTCCCTTAATACATTCTGTCAGGGAAGGCACTTCTGGTTTTGGAGCACTGTTTTCACCTGCCTTTCCCTGCCCAGTCTGTACTCCCGACACTGGAGACACCACCTGGGCTGAGGGGGACTTGGCTCCATTTTGGAGTGGAGTCTGTTGGTCTATCACTGATGATGTTCCACTACTATGTCTCAACCTATTGTTAGGAAGGCCGTTGTTGGCAGAAGAGATCAGTGGAGGACAAGACTGTGGAGAGGTACGTGTGACACTGCCCGTGGGTCCTAGGGTGTGTGGGCCTGACATAAGGGGAGGAGGAGGGATATGTTGGCCTGGGGGCACACCGCCATTATGACTTGGATTAGGAGTGCCAGAGACCCTGTGTGGTGACTGACCCGTTAAGTTTGATTGCATATGTGCCCCGGGTGGCACCACTCTAGCATGATTAGACGATGGCTGTGTGGACATAGGCTGCCCATGATTCATTTGCTGGTGTTGTGATTGTTGTTGTGATATGTTTGATGAGCGAGAGTATGGCATCTTTCCCCTACCTGGAGACGTTTGCGGCTTGCTTGCTTGGTCGTGCCACGGTGATGAGGAAGACCGATTGGTACTTGGTGGTCTCTGTTGCACTGGACCTCCACTCCCAGTGCTGCTGGCACTAGAACTCCGGGAAGGTGAAGGTCCTTTCTGTTGACCTATTACTGCCCGTGGTGATCTCACTTGACCATTCATCTGTTGGTTATGTTGGTAAGGCGGAGGAGGCATAGGCATCTGACCCCCACCAAAACCATTAGACATGGGGTTAACAGTTACATTGGGGGGACCGCTTGGCACATTGTAAACATTGTATGGAAATCTATTGTATGAAAACATGTACCGAGGATCCATGAAGGCAGGATGGATCCCTCCAGGAGGACCTTGCCCCCTGGGAGGAGGTGGGAACCTGTCCGGAGTCATCTGGGCTTGCATGTACTGTGTCTGCCCAGCCTCCTTGGCTGATTGCAGGTTTTGATAGGCAGGGTTGAGGTGAGGTCTTGTATCCACCTGTTGCTGCTGCTGTTGTTGTTGTTGTTGTTGTTGTTGTTGTTGCTGCTGTTGTTGTTGCATGTTGGCTAGTGAGTGTAGGTTTTGCTGAGGCATGGCAGGCACCTCAACATACTGAGCATACTCTAGCGGATTGTCTGATGGTAAATTGATAACTGTAATAGGGAAATGCTTCATGACTTCACTAAGGGACACCACTCTGGTCGTCTTCGAGAATGAGAAACTAAAACCCACCTGTTTACAGGCTTTATTTAACTGATTGCATTCCTCGGGTTCAGGGAGTATACCTTGTGCAGGGACGTTCAGAGAGGCAGCATGTTTCATCACCAACAGCGGCACGTATTTGTCATTGTTCTTGTTGATGTAAGGAGTGACAGTATTGTTGACCTGTATCCAGCCACAGACCTGGCTTCTGCTCTCCTTGACCATTGCCTGGTTGATCTGGTGTTGCGGAGGTGTATTTACGATGTGCTCGGGAAATGTTTTTTTCACAAGATTGTGGAAATCACAGAAGTCTTCCAATAACACTATCAAATCTTTGGTGTTGAATTCCTTTTGGCCAAACTCTCCTCCACAATGCACAATGTTGATCTCGTTGAGGAGCTTTGCCTCGTGCGTAGTAATAAAGTAACTGGTAAGAGGCTGGTGTTTGCCCAGTTCATCGGGATAGGAGTTCGGATAGCGACTTAACAATTTCTGTTCAACCACTCTGACAGACATAAACTTTCTATCCTTTCGGAAGATATAAGGCACGTTAACGCCATCGATTGTTGTCCATCCGAACATTCCCTTAAAGCTCGGATAATCAATTTGTGTTTCTGGCACTTTTTGTTTGACTGGTTCAGCCAATTTCTCCTGCTGAGGTCCTTGTTGGCCTGGCACCTGATTAGCAACCGTGCCATTCTGGAGAAACTGATTGTTCAGCCCTGGCACCTGTGAAGCCTCTATCAGGGGAGGGGGAAGTCGGTTATAAGGAAAGCCATTTTGTTGACCCCCAATTTGTTGAGGAGTTGACACAAGACCATTTTGTGGGGCAGCCGATACTGCTTCACATGCAGAATACTTGTCGTCATTTCGCTCTCTTTTGATGTGAACCTGCATGCTGCCTGAAAAATATGTAATACATAGTAAAACAATAGTCAGCAATCATCAAGTGTAAATATAAATGTTTAATCATTTACCGACTATACAATATATACATTTGTAGCCGTCTCAGTGTTACAACAGACTTTGGTAGGTTATTACCTGTATATTGTTTTGTTCATCAGGGTCTTGTTCTACTGAAAGCAGAGCAAACAAACATTGCAACTGTCTGTTATGACCAACATGTTGTCCAGCCCCAGTGTTGACCTCAAGTTGTCTACCTCCTATATGACCTAGAAACTTGTTCAACCTATGGGTGTCATATAGTTGTCCTTGAGTTGACCAGTCTCTGTGTTGACTTTGAGCTGTCTGGGTGTTGACCTTAGTTGACCAGTCCACGTGTTGATCTTGAGTTGGAACACCACCTGTTGACTTGCCTATGATCACTTCAAATAATTTAATTCAACGACTTTGGAAGTTTAATTCTCAGCTCAGCATCCACATGCAATTCAGACCTCTGTACGTACCTGACAAAGACAGAAATAAAAAAAAACATGATAGATCGTGATAATATAAGGGACCAATATATTTCTGACAAAAATATTTTTGATGTGTTTCAAGTTCGCTTAGTTATTAAATAATATTTTTCAAGTTTATATTGATACATTTAAACAAATAATGGTAAAGTCTTCCATAATGTTATCTATAAACATTGTGCCACATAAAAATTGTTTTACCTTTTCCTTAAACCTATCAAATTTGGCAAGAAAGACGAACCACTTCGTGCTATTTTTGTTTAGCCTTATCATGAAATCCATCAAAACACATGCAAGTCAGCACTCACAATTTATACACTAAAGTATGTATTAGAGTTTGTTTCCCATTCAAAACTATTTCAGTAACAAATCCTCTAGATCTAGTGACTATTACAAGTTTTATACATGTAATATATATCATCAATGACGCCTTTCTCGCAGGAAACCAATATTTAAGCAAACAAAGAAAAATGTACATTAACAGACATGCTGTTTGTTAGAAAATACATTACCATAAATAATTCATCATTCTACAAAGTCATTGGATACAGAACAAAAATCTACCAAATATCACACCACACCTGAAACCAATGGCAAACCCTGTCACAGGCCATAAACCTTTTCAACATCTGTTTCACGTCCCATATACCTCAATTTATATAATGATACAAGTCAATCTATCCACTCCAATTTTATATCACCCTTATAGGAATCTAAAATCTCCAGTAGTATCTTGGGGCTTAATGAGGCAGGCTCTTGCAGTCTGGCAGTCTGCCAAGTTTGCTGGCAAATATTCTATGCAGCCATAACTGCTATCTCAAGCATATGCACAGAGTGATAAAAAGAAAATGTTGGCTCAATGCCAATTCTTCTTTCCCACTGTAAGTAGCTGGCTATATCACAAAGGAGAGAGCTACAGTACAACACAAATTAGTTTTGTTGTAGGTGAAAGCAAATGTCAAGGAAAAACCTTAGAGTCTTTTATCATCAAACACTTGCACTTCACTCTAAATCATAAAGTAAATTGATGTTCAGCAAATGGAATTACATTTTACACTCGCCATTAGAATAATATTTACATTTACCTTTTTCACTCGCCATTAGAATTATATTTACATTTATATATGTGTGTTAATTATATAAATGCATTGTGTATACCTGTAGAAATTCTTTCTCTCGTTCTCCCTGTTCAAAACTCCTGTCATTTATAATTAAACTGAATTATATATACATAATTGGTTACTTTTAGAGCTTTGATGTTTCACTGCATTTGCCAATTAAAATAGTCACGACAGTATTAAGAAACTCTATTTTTATCCTGAGGTATAATTTGTTTTGATTGAAACACATTTCGTTGCCATTGTAATACTATGGTTATGGAGACCATCATTTATGCAAAAAATGTCACCAAAACCTTGGTCTATAACTGATAAATGAAATGTCTTGGCCAATCAAAACTGTGGTGGCCATCTTGTATTTTTAATATCTTGGTTTAGGTGCCCCTAGCTAGGCAAAGTATACTTTGGGCTCCATGTATATAATGAGTTAATGAGATAGTATCTTGGAAAGTAATAATCTAATAATTGGGCCTTGGCACCAATGGACTAAATAATGCAAAACTAGTGATCTTCTTAGAGACCCCTTAAAAACAATTAATATGATCAGCATTATATACATGCGTAAGTCATGAATTAAACATGAGTAGGTAATGTTTTTTTCTTAATAAATCATGTCAACAGAAAAAAATACCATAATTGGGGATTTCCTATCGACAGTGTTCTTATCTATTATACATAAAACAGAATATATCACATTTGTTCACACAGAATATTCTCAGTTAATTTATTTACTCCCCAGTGATTTTGATTGATCCGATAAATTGCAAAAAATTGGCAATATTCCGCTTTCATTTTCGGAGCACAGCTTCTAGTTTGATAGACAGACTAAGGCTTCACTTCTGTGAGCTGAACATGTGTTCCAATTTTTAACAGCTATAGGTTATATTATCCCAATATTTAATTGAAACACATCCTGGATGGTATACATGCATATACACGTCTATGTATGTTCATCACTGTATTATATAAAACGCAATACATGTATCATTTCTTTTAATGAAGTGTTTAGTTTTACTGTAGAAAGTGGATATATATGCAATTCTCGTAATTGATTTTCTATAGGGAAATAAATTGCAAACAATCATAATTAATTCTTATGACGCTTTACAATTACCCTGATCAAGCAGTCAATTGTGATCGTGTTTTACATTTGATTTACAGTACAGAAGCTAAATAATTCCTAAGAAATTTCTGAAGAAATGCAAAAGGGTAAATGGCTCAATATTCATCAAATTGACCTTATAACATAGAAAGGATTAATTTCAAGTTAAGACCATCAACTCTAAAATCTGTATTACAGTATGTTGGGTGGGCTTAAAACCAAGCGAAATCTTAGCATCAGATATCATTATCACCATCATAAGCTTTTTTTCATTGAAATGCTGGTACAGTGTTTATATATCTACAGTGCTTATCGTAATAACAGTGGGTAACAAAACCAGTTTAAGGGAAAATACTTTTCATTATTCTAAGGCAGCCAACGCATTGGAATAGATTTGGCTTGCTGCTGTCATTTTTGCCAGAGAACATATGGTAGATAGCTATTAGGAAGTATATAATTAGGTTAACCTGCTTCCAGTTACCAGTTGACAAGACTAGAGGATAGTGGTAACAGGGCTCCCATATCATGTTACCCAAAAATCTCTTGGCTTGGTGCCAGCTTGCTCAGCATCTGGAGCCATCAATAGATAGTTTCCAACACACCACCATCTCCCTAGCCTAATACACTCATGGTTAGAACTACTCTACCAAAACAAAGTGCAACCCAGTTGAGTATATAATATAAATATATTTATTTTTTATCCCAAAAGTGTAACGGCTAACAATCTGCTCTTACTTCATGTTTTTGCAATTATGAAGATAAATTCAACCTCAACATTACTTAAATGTTGTATATTTACATGGTAACTTGATGGCAACTATTAGGTACAACAATCATCTGAATCATAACAACATTATAGATCCACCATCCTCAATGTAACAATGACAATGAATTATGAATAGACAATTGGTCATGAATACAATCTCTGGACTATCAGAACAAACATTAAAACTTCAATTGTTTGTCTCTGCGAAGTTACAATTAACGCTATTTGTGTGTGTGTGTGCGTGTGTGTGTGTGTGTGTGTGTGTGGGNCATCTTTCTTGCAACTTTCTTTAAATAGTGTGACACAGTCAAAAAGTCAAATGTTCAGAATGAAAACACTATTTGGCTTGAAATATGTCCAGAATTCTTCCAAACCATTGAGAAAATGTGATTTTTACTGACTATCACCGTAACAAGAAATTGGCCTTTAACACAAAATCTGAGTTTGAGCAAGAGAACAGTTTCATGAATACAGGCCAAGATCATTTCATTATTTATTTTTTTAGCTTTTGATGCAAACATTTTTATGTTTTAAGGCAAGCGCTGACTACAATTACATGTCTTACGCTGACACTTGTAGGCATTTTAATCATCCTAGCCTCGAACATAGGAGGGCATTTTTAGACTGTGTATTTCTTTACAAATGTGTTAATAGTGCTCTTGATTGTCCATATTTAGTCAAGCAAATGTGTTTTTTAGTCCCTGGTCGTAATCTACGATCAATTCGTTTTAAACAGTTTTACTGCCAGAGAAGTAGAATAAGCATTAGAAAGTATAGTATTTTAAACAGGATTTAATGTAATTTTAACTATCTTGATTTTGCACCAGACTGTGATATGTTTTGTTCCTCTCTCGCCGAGTTCAAAGTACGGTTAAAGAATATTTGCTATCACTAATTCCTTTTGTTTTACATATGAGTATCTTTTAGTCTGTGTTACATGCATAACTGACTGTGATATTTTATACTTGTGTTGTAATGTTGTTATCCATTCTGTAAGTGGACCCTTGGGTCTGTTAAATTGGAAATAAATATATAAACTTTCAACCAAGGTTAACCCCTGGATAATATCTATCATAAAATATTGCTTTAAGTGCATTTTGAGACTCAACTTGACTGACAGATGTTTGCTGTATAATTATTCAATGCCGAGTTAATATTACATTGAGTGGTTATAATTATGTAAATGAGCTCTTATATACAACTAAGAGTACACAATTTTATGATATATTTATGTGATAAAAATGTTATTAGTTTGGAGAAGCACTTTGTACCAGTTACACATCAAATACCACAATATATGCTGCGGCTGATGGAATACTTTTTTTTTTTTTTTTTTTACAATATTAACAAATTTCAGTCAGCATAAGAAGTTTTATTATATTTAAAAAAAAAAATGGGTTCACAGAAGTACTTCTTCAAAATTCATGCACGTATGTGATCATTACACTAATGTCCATCCAAATGACACTAAAGTATGCAATTAAGTACATTAATTTTGTTATGCTATTAAGCTTAATGTAGTGATCAACATTATCAATTGAGTTATGTCATTTTATCATCTAAGTATTATAATCTATGTGATGACATTTTAAGCACATAGATCTATATGTAAGTGATGTCATCATCAAAGTGTGATGTCACCTCATTGACACCAGGATATCTAAGTGATGACATCATCAAAGTGTGATGTCACCTCATTGACACCAGGATATCTAAGTGATGACATCAGCAAAAAGTGATGTCACCTAATTGACACCAAAGATATCTAAGTGATGTCACCTCATTGACACCAAGATGTCACCTCATTGACACCAAGAACATCTAAGTGATGTCATCATAGAAATGCAATGTCGCCTCACTGAAACCAGGACATCTTAGTGGTGACATCAGCAAAATGTGATGTCACCTCATTGACACCAAGGACATCCTAGTGAGTCACCTCATTGACACCAAGGACATCTAAGCGATGTAATCATATAACCCTGCAGAGTAATATAATGTCACCTCACTGATACCAAGGATATTTAAGTGATGTTGATATAGAAATGTGATGTCACCTCAATGACAATAAGGATATAGGAGTGATGCTGCCTCATAATGTGATGTCACTTTATTGACACCAAGGATATCTAGGCTATATATCCCTATAGAAATGTGATGCCACCTCTCTGACACCAAACATATTGCAGTGATGTCGCCTAGTATTGTGCTGTTACCAAAATGACACTGAGGATATCTAGGTGATGATGGCATGGATATATATCACCTAACTGGTACTTAGGATATCTATAAGTTGCCATAGAAATGTCACTTCATTGACACTAAGGATGTCTAAGTTGCCATAGAAATGTCACTTCATTGACACTAAGGATATCTAAGTACATGATGTTGCTATTGAAATGTCCTGTCACCATATAGTAGTCTAATATTATCCTAAGTGATGTCACCATGATAAATATGTATTTCATAATGAATTCAATCTACTGAACATAAATTGTAATATATATAATCACTGGTTGGAAATTTTGTTTACACTATTAAAATTTGTTTGACAAACTTTAGAAAATTTAATAAATATATCCAACAAATATGAGTCCCCAGGATTTTTTCAATAATTTTTCACAGAAGTAATGGACAATTTGAAACCATTCATTTCTGAAGTTCACTTTCTATCTTTAGGAACAACCTAAAAACTGTTTTCTTAATGCTTTCTTGTATTCATTTCCAAATATTAAAAATGATGTCACAGTTTATACTTAAAAAAAAAGTTAATTATATGTAATAAATGTATCAATACAAGCATATATGTTGACATAAATTACATAAAAGAGTAGATTCTACTTATACCATCAATAAATCTTCAGAAAAAAATAACAACAACATTCATTATCCATGTATCATCATTATAACTTTGACAAAAAAAAGTGAATATTATAAATGAAATATTTTTCGCTCTTGTCCAACGATAAATATTTTTTTAGAGTTACAACTCGAATCAGACGTTGGACAATAAAAATATGTCCTCAATAAATTTTGAAGTTGTCTGCTAAACATATGATACATCTGGCTTCAAAGTCACTTGCAGATTTGAAGTTAGTAGTTTTTTCTTTTAAAAAAATACTTTTTATGTACAATCACAGAATTAGATTAAATCTAAGTCCGTGGTGCAATAAATGATATATATATGATATCTAAGTAATGTTTGCTAGAAGTTACATGACAATGGTAATGTAGGATGGTAGTTTGTCTGTAGCATGAAGATTAAAAACACATTTTTTCAATCAATTCAGCATGAACAATGGCAAAGAGACTGGTATCAGTCATTCAAACGGATGTAATCAATGGTTGACTTTTTTTATGAAAATCGAATTATAAAAAAAGCCCATATCGGTCACAATAAATATGAGTGTACTCATACACCTATTAATGGGCCATCATATAATTAGTTTAGTCTAGCCCAGACTGTTGGCAATCAGCCAAGATTGTATATGGACTTCGTACACTCAATAGTCCCTTCAGCTTTTGATCCCAGTGATAACCTACTACACCTACAGGTTAAAATATTTCACAAGCGAAACAGTCCGATGTCAGTCAATATGTGCTGAATCCACACCACTTGGCCTGTAAACAATGGTCCGTTGTGCCTGCTGTGTCCCCGACTTTGGCTCTTACAAAAGCCCGCTGCCGCAGGCGTCGAGGTAACTCCGGTTACGTAATGTAAACAGCTACGCCGACCGATACACTGCAGAGTAACTACGGTTCCCGGTGATCACATGACCTCATTGTGGAATGTGATAACATCCTGTAGTGCACCGGTTGCCGTGGTAACCATCCATCGGGACGGCTATATAATTCAAGCGGCGAACTGCCCGGTATTATAACACTGACCTTATTTAGCGGGCACCTGCTTACCTGTAATTTTTGTCTGTCGTCATGCCGTTCACGATTTATTGTCGAGATACCGTACTAGGTCTGATAGTTAGTGTTCCACTGAGTAGGCCGTCGACAGTTGTCCGACCTAGCGCCGCTCAAGCGCTATATAGATCGATTAGGACTCGCGGACAACACTAACATTTGGCTCACTGCCAAACGCTTAGAAAGTTCGTCTGCTTTCCAGTGAAGCTGCAGGACGCATTCATATATTATTAGTTCTTTAAGAACGCAATCGTAATTTATGTTTGAAGATAATTATAAAGATAATATATTGACTACCTTAGTTAGGAAAACAGAAAACACATTTTTGCTCAATGAAATTGATAAAGGATAAGCTCAAAATGTTACCTCTATCTAAGGGTCTTTCACTGTGATATGCATTCGCACGCATTCATTTCCATGGGAATATAAATTGCGTCTCGCCCTTCTTCGCCCGATATTCAACAAAACATGTCTGGCTTTGATAAATTGGACTCCGCTTATCGTATTTCACTCTATGTCATCAGCATAACAAAAATAGCTGGAACTATCGCGACGGTGATGTTGCGGTTGACTGCGTTTAAATATCGCGTGAATAGCAGGGGTTGGCCCCCATTCAATTAGGGTGATACAATCCTTGGCAAGCGTCCAACTCGCTCTAGTAGTAGGAACTCATGGCAATAACAAAATCGATGGCGACTTATACTTAGTAGACTTTATTACTTCCTCCGCCGACAGATATAAAAGCTGATTATTCGGAGGATTTGAATTACTACATTGAACATGGGGTATTCAAGACTTTACATGGAACGTAATTTTGGGTTGAAGTAGGGAGGAAAGAAAGAAAATCCCTGACGCCGTAAAAGAACTACCGTAATTGGTATAACGTCAGCCATGTTTTTGAGAACCTATCGCGACATTGATAAGGAAACAGTACTAGAATCGTGGTGATCTGCTAGTGCTTAAAGGATATACCGTAACGTTGCCGTTTTCTTACATAGAACCATGCTATTTACATTGTTGAAACATCCACCATGAGCTTCGCCTTTAAATTTGGTGCCAAAACCAGCTTTTTAGGAAATATTTAAATAACCCACTTTAACCTATCCAAACTTTAATGCCATTATGTCAAATAATGTTTCTACTTTCTTCCAGTGTCGTGTTGTCCTTCTACACCCGTATACCCATAAAACCACCGATATGTGCATTAACACTTCCCATTATAAACCCGTTCGCGAAACTAATGACATGCAATAACTCGGAATAAAACAAAATGTTGCTGCATTGTTTCGGAGGAAACAAATAACACACATTCTTCACGTTACAAATGAAGTAGAGGTATTTCAATCTATTTCTTCCCAGCCCAAATGGTGAACTTTAAATTTGTTATCTGTAAGTAATGCACAGGCCTTATTAGACAGACGGAGTCTGCACAGCTTATATCTACAAGGCCGCGTTGCTTCAAATTGTTAAATGGCATTATTTTCATTTTTATGTAAATATTGACTAAAACCGTCTCGTTTGTTAAGGCATTATTCTGTTGAATACGGTATCCTTACAAAACCCGTCTAAACGTTATTCTTTAAGAAGCGGTACAACTAGAACACTCAACAAAGAAAGCAAACAAAGGGCTTCTGATTAGATTACGGGAGTAACTAGTACCATAATAACAATTGTTCCCCACGAGCAACGCATCACTGGACATACAAAACATTGACAAACTACCAAAACGTGCCCATACACGCGATACTAATGTTTAACATATTATTTTCTAAAAAGAAATTTAAAGGAGGGTGATCACGTCGAACGTTTATATTGATAGCACTTGAAACTTGACTGGCAACTAAAAATACGACATATCTGTAACAAAACATATATCAGTGACGAAAATGGGCTTACAGAGGAAAAGCTGTAAATTAGAATTTTCAATCCTTTCTTTGGGAAAAAGTAAAGCTTTGCTTAACATTTAAATACCGAAAAAGGCTGAACATTTTCATCTCTGTAATATACTGATAAAAGGCATACATCAGAACAAACTTAGTAAAAATTCCTACAATACAATTTATAAAAAATAATGAGCTTGAAATTAAAGACACAGCATCTTCATGTATGTCTTTAACCCTGTATACGATACAATAATATTGATCACCTCACGTTGCGACATACTTTCACTTCTAAACTTCTGATCTCTGACATATTTTCACCTCCGAACTTTGTGACATTTTTTTTCATTTCCGAACTGTGTGAAATATTTTCAGTTCTGATCGTTGTGACATATTTTCACTTACGAACTTAATGACACATTTATTTCCGAACTTTGTGACACATTTATTTACGAACTTTGTGACATACTTTCACTTATAAATTTTGTGACTTATTTTCACTTCTGAACTTTGTGACATACGTTCACTTCTAAACTTTGTGACATACGTTCACTTATGAACTTTGTGACATTCTTTTTCCTTTCCTCATCAGGACTGATTTGTTTTTGTTTCGTTTTGTGCAAGGTTTTATGTCCTCCCAACTGTGAAGGTCATACGAAGATGAATGGCAACGGAGCCAACGCCGAACAGACAGAGGAAATAACAGAAGAAACACAAGTTTTTATAGAGCAAAAGCACTTGTCTCTTTGTATTCATCTCATTAAGGTACGGTGCACATCTTCTGTGATTGATGCAGTACACTTTAACGATCTCCTACGGTTTATATATAAATGATCCCTGGGCATGCTTTTACTGAAATTCAACGTTTATTTGGTGTTTGAAGGCAAAGACCACAATGACTATATTACGCTACTCTGCATACCTTTTGGGAGTGATGAGGAGTACACATTCAGGGTTAAACATTCTTGATTTAAACATATTTAATTCGTTCAATATAACAAATGGGTTAGCACAAGTTATCACAACTTAGAAACGCCTTCTCCGACAAATTGCATTGTAGATTTTAACATATCTACAATATTATACACTTTCATCAAATTAAGTTTCTACATGTAAAAACAGAATAGAAATTGGATCTAGTAAAATTCTTCCTGATTGTAATCTTCACCAGGCACTTATTTGGCCTTAGATGAAGACCACATCGTCCTAAATGAGGTCCACGGCACACCTGATGACGGTACAGGTTAAGTTTTATGAAGATTATAACGTTGTAAAAAAGTATGGGTCTAGCAATCTTGAACTGAAAAATAATTACTTTTGAGCTTTGACCTTTAGACGAAGAATCACAATTACTGTGGGATGATGCATTAACGAACCATTTTTTATGAAATATCTCAGGAGGTATAAGAATTGACACAGACAAAAACTACAAAAAAGAATTAGAATAGGAACAAGTACTGAAACAATGTATCGTTACACTTGAATCGGCCCATCATGGTTGAATCACTGTAAAATATGCTGTACTCTTTGATGAGAGCTTCGGGGGTTAGAATGCCCCTCAGTGACGTTTTCCAGTTCTCCTCTTTTTGTCAAGTAACAAAAGCCTCGTGGACGAGGACCCTGAAACGCATTTTATCTATAAAAATAGAAATATTAGAAATTCAATTGAATTTTTCCATTTTTCTTATTTATCTCCGTTATAATAATTTTATCTTTCTGCACATAAGACATATAAGCATTTCTATTTAAGTGTTTTTAAAAGATTTCTACACTACAAACGTATTGTATCTTGTGTCTAAGAAGTTACTGACGTACATGTTCTCTAGCAGACATCACGACAGATGTAACAAGTGTTGCAGGAAATATTCACTCTTCCGGAACAACTTGTTTCACCGCACCTCCTTTTTGTTAGTGGTTTTCGTTTGTACATTGGTTTATTGTCTTGTCTTCTTCCGTAAATGCCAAAAATCTGCAGATACAGATTAGAAAATAGTGTTGCTTCTGTCAGACTTTGGCTATTCATTCCTGTTAAACATCACATCAGGTATGAAATAATAAATAATGATTATCTACAGAATTAAAAATGTTAAAGCTAAGTCCCAAGTATTGTGAGTTGGTTGATCGTTAACAATTGAAATAGCCCTTTTAATGTAACTGAACCAACTTTTAACAAGCCAGGTTAAACACGTTCTGATTCAAGCATTAAAAATACATACAAACGTTAAGTTTTTATTCATCCATTAATACACATACAAACGTTTTGATTAATTCATTAAAAATATATACAAACGTAAAGCTTTGATTCTTCCATTTAAAATATACACAAACTTAAAGTTTTGGATTCAACCGTAAAAAATACATACAAACGTAAAGCGTCACAAATAAGATTATTTGTTTATAAACGTATTTGTATCGAATAGCGTTACCGATTTCAATAACTCTATTGCCCTGAAAAAAAGGATCAGATACTCATCTAAATTGAATGTGTTTAACTTTGAAGTACATCAAAGAATGGCAGGCAGACGGACAAATGGCGACAGTATAAGTCTGAACGTTAGCCCAGGTGAGGCTACATCAATAGAAAAATGTTATTTACATAGAAACTGAATGCATATATTCTAATGACACCTTGACCCTGTATACATCATTTCGTCGACATCGTCTGCAACTCACTGAAAAGAACAATGCAACTGGATGTCATCGAATTAGTCTACCGGAAGTAGATACTGCTGATTTTTCTCCCCAAAATGTTTGTATTTCACTCTATTTTGGATGCAACAACGGACAACCCTTTGAATACATTCTTCTCCTTGTTGGTCATGACATCGTTTCCATTAGTTTGTAATACATACATGTGTATGGTATTTATTTTTTCCATTGTGTAAGGATTTGAATTACCAAGCTGAATCACTTTTAACGTTTTTTTCTTACTTCATATTGATTACGCAATTCAACAACTTTCTTAAATATCAACAGAGTGCACACTCAGTTAAATGCTTCTTATCGCCCAAAAGCTCTTTTACTCTTTACATAAACGACTACTCTCCAATACACACTTTGATTTTACGTTCCTTTTCCAGAGAAAGGCGTCAAAGAGGTGT